CATACAATCTTTGTTCATTCTGTGCATCAAGCAATGGCAGGAAAGCAGTAAATGAACATTTTAAATGGCATTAGGGGAAATACTGTCTTTTCAGCCCATTGTACCTGACCAGACCCTGACTCTGAATCAGACCCAGAGCCACTAAACCACTCCTCAGACACCTGAACACAGAACCCAGGTCAGAAATGAATTTTCTGAAGGCAAAGACTAAAAGAAAGATGAATTTCAAAAAAACTTAATCACAGAAATGTTTCATGCAAAATTATGTTAGTTTTTTGTTTTGTTTTGTTTTTAATAAAAACTGCTCTTGATTTTAATTAATTCTATTGTGTGTGTCAGGTGGGTCCTTTGAAAGAGTTTTAATAGAGTTAGAGTATACCTCCTGTTTAACTTTTAGCATAAATTAGCAAATGACAAATGAGTTTGTTATGTGAGAGCAGCTGTGAAATCTACTAAAGAAATTACATTTTCAGTGTCTGCCTTGTCCTTCCAAAGAAACCATAATACTGTATAAACTTGAGCCTGTATAAACTATAATACTTGAGCCGCTCGAGTTTACAATATGTAGAAAACATATTGGTTCATTTAGTATTTTTAAGCTGCTGCATTTAGATTGGGCTCTAACAGAAAATGGACCAAGGTAAAACTCACAGGAAGTCCAGGTTCGCCCTTTGCTCCATCCCTTCCATCTTTCCCAGGAGTCCCAGGTAGTCCAGAAAAGATGTCCTCAGAAGGAGATCCTGGGGGCCCTGGGGGACCTGGAGGCCCTGGGGGACCCTGATAACACAAGAAAACATTACAGTTATGGGAAGGTAATGTAGAAAAATGCTCTGTAAAACAGGTAAACTATAGTGTCAGTGTACAGAGACAGAGAAAGCAGCTTCACTTACCCTAATAATCTCCGTGTCACTGTCAAAGTCTTCAAATCCAGAACCCTCCTGATGAACACAAAGGCAATGACCCCTCATTTAGTCAAAAGGTAAGTCACTTATACTAAAAGTTTATGGTTGGTTATAACATAATGAGCCTTTTTTTCCTCAGTCCACAATATATAAATAAATATTTTATTTTCAACTTAAAATATTTATTTTCATCCCCAGTATGAATATCACTGCTGTGTAAAAATGTTGAGGAACATAACGAAAAAGATGGGCGTATCATCAGATCTTGCTGATTTCTGCTGCAACAAATGTGACTTAGCTTTAGCATCACACCAGAAAAAATACAACCTAACAAATTCATATCAACATTTGGAAACAGAATATGGGCAGTGTCTACATGAAAAGTTCACGTATATGAAGGTATACAGAACAGAAACAAGGATTTCACAAATAAACTGGAGCTAATTTTAGTTCCTTGTATGAATCAAGCACACCTGATTTTGCTTAAACTAAGAACAAAAATGAATAAATGACCGACCAGGAACACGGAGGACTTGCTGGGCTGCCCTGGAGGTCCTGGAGGACCCGGAGGGCCAGGTAGTCCAACACCAGGATCACCCTGAGAGAAACAGAAGAAAGTTTGTGTTGTTTTCTACATTTCAAGGATTACTTACTTATTTCTTTAATATTTAATATTTAATTTTACAAGTCCATGTTAAAATTTCTGTAACCACCTTGAAGGTTTTTAATTAATACTGGTTTACCTTTTCTCCCTTAGGACCAGACTCTCCGGGTAGTCCTGGAAATCCTTTTGCTCCCTGAGAGAGTCGACAATCACGGCAGTGCACATGAGCTTTCCCCTCTGAGACATTAAATAATAACTTCCACATGAAGGAAACTATATATTTGAAAGACTAGGAGGATTTTACTTACTGGTGAACCAGTTTCCCCTTTGCTTCCCTGGAGAAAAGACAAAAACAGAAAGTAAATCAATCATGTTTAAATCTGACATGTACGCCTGACATAAACAACACAACAGAGTAAAAAAAAACATCCTGTGCTCCGTAAACGGACGTCTGAATTGTTTAAAAATAGAAGCTTGTGAATGCCTCAAATTCAGTGCACAAACGCGCAGGTTAAACTCACAGGGTGTCCATCTTTCCCTGGAAGTCCAGGTGTGCCTGGGGGTCCCTGTGCTCCTTGTGGGCCTCGTTGTCCAGGCTCCCCTCCTTGTCCTTCTTCTGAGGCTGGTCCTGGGGGGCCTGGAGGTCCTGGGGGACCAGCTGGGCCTGGCTCCCCTTTCTGCCCTGGATAAACCTGGAGGGACTAAGGAGTTAGGATTTTTTTTTTAATTTTTATTTTTATGTAGACTGCAGTCACACTAATTTAAAAAAAACAAAAGGAAAAAAATAGGGCAGCATCAGCTGTAGTAAGTGGGACAAACTTGCTCTACAGGAAATAGTTTCCGTTTTCTCTCTCTCTCTCTCTCTCTCTTTTTAAAGCACATTTAATTTTAACCTCATCAACCACGTCACTTCCAGCCCATCTAGAGTTATATCAGAGTACCAACCATCCCCTTTACAGACCTTTAAAGACCTGTTTGAACTGCCTTAATTATATAAAAGCTGTAATAATCTTAACCCATAATATCTTGAAACAGCCACATTTATGTTATATAAATTCAGAAGATAATTCTGACTTACAGTGTCAGGTGTGGAAACTGAAGCACCTGTCTGTAATAACTTTGCTGTAACATAAAGAGAAAAAGGAAAAAACAAGCATGTTTGAGCACATTAAAAATGGCACTGCTTTGGATTTGATGAATAAAGCACAGATGAAAAGGTTGAGCATTGGATCATACGAACAAAGGAAAGGAAGCTACACTGTGTCTTCAGCAACATCTGGTGGAAACTCTTGGAAATGCAACGAAGGAGGAGACGATTTACTCATGAATTGCAGCACAAACGAAGGGAAGCATGAAATAATTTTGCTATATCACTGGTCTAATTCTGAAAATATATATATTTTTAAGTGGCAGATAACTGCTGTTTGTTGCCACAGGACAGAGTTCCTGAGACCACATTAAAACGTTTACATGAATGCATTTTACCTTGCACCGTGGTCACCTCCGTTTCCTGCCCAGAAGCTTCCTCAAAGTCGTCATCTTCGTCATCACTTGTTGGCATCTCAGTGGGTGGAGGTGGGATCACAATGTAAGTGGGGGCCAGCTCTGGCTAATAACCACGATGGTAAAATAAACAAACAAACAAACAAACAAAAAAAGAAATCAGTGTGCATCTTTAGACCAACCTTCAGCACTAAACAATCCGGTCGTTAAGTCTGACGTCACTAGCCGTGTCTGGGCCTAAACTCCGCTGCAGGTCCATATATCAAAC